GGCCGGTCTCACCTACACCGGGGAGAGCCAGTGTGCTGGCGGGACCTTCCCCATTAACCTCTGAAGAGCTCCCCATCCATCCCCCTGGTCTGTCCGGGGCACCGGGGGGCTGTAAGGACCCCTTTCCCCCGGGGTGACGCCGTGAGCAGCTCCCGGGACCCCTTCGGGAGGGGGGAAGGGGGGAGCCTGGGCATGTCCCTTATCCGGTAGCGCCTCCCTGCGGCCGCCCCGACGGGGGGGGTGGGGTGGGGTGGGGTGTCGGGGGCCGGTGCCCACCGCCTCCCCGTTGCCCCCCTCCCCGCCCCAGCCCCGGAGGAGCGCGGAGGGTAGCGGGCCTCCGCCCCGGCCTCCGCCGGGCTGCGCGGGGCTCTGCTGCCTCCATGCGGCCGCTCCGCGGGGAGGGCGGAGGGGACGCGGATAGTATCAAATACATCCTTCCTGCTGCTGCTGAAAAAGGAAAGGGAAAAAAAAAAAAAAAAAAAAAAAAAAAAAAAAGGCAATAAACCTCTCGATTGTTTCCTTTTCGGGGAGGGAGCGGCGGGCCGCTTGGCTGGAGGGGTGGGTAGGGGCGCTGGGGAAGAGCTGCGGGGGCGTTATTTGGGGATGCGGGGAGGACGGGAGGGGAGGCGGCGGCGGGAGCATCGCGCTCCTGCAGCCACAAGTGCCCGCTTTCTGAAAACCCGCCCGGGGCCGCATCTTGCCGCACCGGGCCCGTCGCGGGGGGGGCGGCCCCTCCCCCCCCTCCCCCGCCCCGTGTCCCCCCGCAGCCTTTCCCCACCGGGCCCTTCATAAACACCGCCGAGAATTGCCCTTATACTTTGTAAATATTGGATTAGCTTTTCATTGACCGGCTCTCTTGAAAAGACCCGAAAAATCCACACCGGTTCCAAACTAAGCCAAACAGTCAATAGGTGACGAAAGTAAGTTATTTCCAGGGCTTAAGGGGGCTTCCAGCTCATTATCGGGTTATCTGAGGCGCCTAAATAGTTTTTTTCCCTACAAGAGGGTGGAAGAAGGGGGAAAAAAATTGGGAAAAAAAGGAAAAGGAGCGGAACCCCAGGAGCCCGGCTCAGCTTCTCGCCCTCCCCGAGCAAGTGCCCGGTCATGCCCCACGTCGCGACCTGCGGAGCCTGTCGCGATGCAAACCCGACGGGCGACTCTGGAGGCGGGCGGCTCCCCTCGCAGCTCCCGGGGCCGAGGAGAGGGGGACGCGGGGGGAACTGGCGACCGGCAGCGGGGCAAACTGGGGGGCAAGGGGGGTGGTTTGCTGCCAAAACTGCGGGCGGGAGGGGTGTCGGCGAGAGGAGAGGGCGGACCCCCCATCTGAAGCCTCATCTCTGCGCTGCGAGCCCGCTCCCACCCCAGGTCAGCCCCGGGGCACACCAACGCCCCCGCGCAGCGGTGCGCAGCCCCTCTGCTTGGGGTGCTGAAGATGCCAGGAATGATTGGGTTGGGGGAGTGTTTCCCCCCTTTTTTTTTTGGTTTTATTTTGGTTTTTTATTTTTTCTTGTTTTCTTCTCTTTTTTTTTTCTGTTTTCCTTTTTCTTTTTCTTTTTTCTTTTTTCCCCCTATTTCCTCTCTTTCCTCTTTTTCCTTTATTCCTTTGCTCTTTCGTTATTTTTTTCCTTTTTCATTTTTTCGTTTTTTTTTTTTTTTCTTTTTTCTTTCCATTATTTCTATTTTCTTTTTCATAATTATTTTTTATTTTTCGTTACTCCTTTTTTAATTTTTCGTTATTTTTTTCTTTTTTTTAATATTTTGATTTTTCTTTTTTCTTTATTCTTGTTCGTTATTTTTTTTTTTTTTGCCTCCCTTTCTCTCTCTCTCTCTCTGTGTCTCTCTCCCTCCCCCCTTTTCCCCCCCCTCCCCCCCGCCCTCGACGGCCTGCCTTGCACAACGAGGAGCCACGACAAGAAAGAGCCGTTTCTCCGGGGGAGAAGCGGGACGTGCCAGCCCGCCGCACGGTACGGCCGGGCCGCGCCGGGCCCCGGCCCTGCATCCCATTACCGGCCCTGAATGCCGCCTTGTCCTGCGGCCCGGCCCGGCCTCCGCGCCGCGCAGCGCAGCGCAGGCAGCGGAGCTCGGCTGGAGGCGCAGCAGCGGGCATCGCCTTGTGTTTTACGGGGGAGATGCGCCTGGGTCTTTGCCGGGGGGGGTGGGGGGGGAGTCTAATTTCCTGTGAAATGAGAGAGAAACTTGTCAGCGGGAACCGGGAGAAGAGGAGGGCCTCTGTTAGTCTTCAAAGAGAGAGGGAGAGAGAGGAGAGAGGGAGAGAAAGAGAGAGGGACTCTTTTTCCTTGTTTCCCCCCCCTCCTTCTTTTTTTTTTTTTTTTTTTTTTTTTTTCCAGAATAGATATAGCACGAATTTTTAATTCGTCTTCCTTTCACAGACAACAATGCTGTTTTTGAAAGCTGGGCACAATTTGGGTTTTGTGAGGGGTCCCTCGGCCCAGCTGGCCATATGGGATACAACATGTAGAACATGCCTAACAATGAGCACGAGTGACAGCCCTAACAAAACGCAAAGGACACTGCTCCCTGACTCCGAGATGGACTGCCTCCCATAAATGAATTGAATGGCCCTAAAGAGAAAGGGGGGGGGGGGGGGGGGGGGGGGGGAAGAAGAAGAGAGGGAAGGCACAGGGAGGGCGCCCACCCCCCCCATACTGTCTCTCCTTTTTTTTCTCCCCCCTTCCCCGGCCCGGCCCGGCCCTGGCTGTCTTTGCCTCCGTCTCTTTAATATGCACGCCTCTAACATGCTCACCTCCCTGCCTCCCCCATTGTGCTGTTTTGTGAAGTCTACTGTATATTGTGCAAAGATAGACTGCCCGGAGCTGGCCCGGCAGCATGGGAGATATAAGGCCACGGAGGTTAGGGCCACACAACTGGTTTTATAGACTTAGCAGAGCCTGGCGGGGGTGGGGTGTGTGGAAAATAAGAAAAAAGTAATATTTTTCCTTCTCTCCTGCTCCTGGCTCGCAGGCTGGGGAAACCTGCACAGGGCCGGGGACCCCCCCGCAGCTGGGGCGCGGGTCTGGGACCCCGGCGAAGGCTCCCCGGGTTGGAAAGGCGGCCGCTCCGCCTGCGGGGCTGGCTCTCCCCGCGGCGCATCAGCCGCGGCCCCTCCGCCGGTGCGCAGGCAGGTTTGGCCGAGAAGCTCCCCGGCCAAGGGTGGTGTGGATAAAGGCAAGCCCGGCGGGGAGGCGTGGTGGGGGGAGGAACAACTAAAGAGAGGGGGGAAAAAAAAAAAAAATAAAAAGAGAAAAAGGGAAAAACCCAGCCGCAGCGCGGAGGTTGCAGCGGGGGCTTTGCGGCCGGCGGAGGTTGCGCGGGGGCGGAGAGGCGCGCAGGGGCACGGCGGGGCCGGGGTGCTGCGCGTCGGTACCGATCATCTCTTGGCTTTGGGCGTTGAACTGACCCGGCTGAGCTCGGCCTTGCTTGGCCCCGGCGGGACGGGGTGGGAGCTGCCCCGGTCCCGGCCCCATCACAACGGACAAGCCATTATTTTTTTTTTTTTTTTTTTTTCCCCTTAAGCACCTTTACCGGCTTAAAATGGCAGGGGAGGGCAAAGGAGCACACAGCTGCTCCGGCTCTGCCCAAACCCGCTCCGAGCCGGGGCTGTGCTTGCCTGAAACCAGTCTTAACTTCACCCGGGCCGGGCTCGGTCCTCGTTTCACCCCGGCTGAGCCATCCAGACTACCCCAGCTCCTCCTCGCCTCTCTCTTATTCCTTACTCCCTCTCCCCCGTTTTTTGGGGGGAAGAACCCCAGGTGTTAACCCTTTCCCTCGACCTGCCTGAGCCACCGGCGCATCCCCGAGGGCTGAACCCGAAGTTTCCGCGCTCACCCCCCTGTGCAAACGGCCCCCAGCCCGAGGCGGGGGGCGTCGAGATGATGCTGGTATAAAAAACTCTGCAGCCAGAGGACCCCAGCAGCACGGGGAGAGGAGGGGCACTGGGGTGTCTAAAAGCCCAGTCACAGATATAAAATATTTCTTCCTCCCCTCCGTTTTTCGCCAGCTCCGGGTGTTGAGGAGCCGGGCTGAAGCCGACTGCCCCGAAAAAAAATACGCTTTCCCCGAAAAAAAGAAGTTGCGGGGGCGGCGGGGGGGGGGGGGCGGGGGGCCTTCCTCGGCCGTGTCACTCCACGGAGCCCCTCCACCGGGCCTCGCTGGCCCCACGCCGGGCTGAGCCCGGCCGAAACGCCGCCGGGGGATGCGGGGAGGCGGCCGCGGGCGCCGGCCGCGCTGAGAAGTCGAACAAAACCGGTTCGTCGTTGTTATCGCTTCCTTCTCTTATTATTTTTTTTTCTTGAAACACAGCTTTTTTTTTTTTTTTTCTTTTCTTTTTCATTAAAAATCTCACTAAATTATCGAAAGCCTGGGTTTGTACACAATGAGTCCTGCGGCGGTGAGCAGAGAGGGTTTAATCTGCGTTTCTTTTTTTCCTCCGCTCGCGGTTAGTCGGGAATAGTTGTGCGCAAAACCCCAAATAAGATAAAACAAAATGAACGCCCTGGCTGCTACTCACGGCAGCGATAATCACAACGAGATATAAAAATAGACCCGCTAATAGTTGTCGGGGGTTATACGCGGCCGAAAACTGTCCTAGAAGGGGAGCAACGGGGCTCTCCGTGTCGGGGTGCCCTGCGTGGGGGTACCGCGGCCGCCCTCCGGGCCCACGCACGTTCCTCACAAAACCACAGGAGCAGCTGGGGGGGTTTTTATTCTTTATTTTTTTTTTTTTTTAATTCTGACGACCCTCCCCCTCCCTCCCTTTTATTTTAGTTGTAGGTAGACAGGACCACTCTGAATGGCGCAAAAATTTCTGTAAACAATGACGCACAAAAACACCTCCCCTCCCTTCCCCCCCGCCTCCCCCCGAAATGAAAACGAGTCCCCCCCCCCCAAAAAAAATGGAGGGGAAAAGAAACAGGAGAGGGAAAAGAAACCATAATAATAATAATAATAGCAATAATAATAATAATAATAATAGCGTTTCCCTCTCCATTCCTTCCCCCGCAGTTTTGATTTTATTTTTGGAGCATCAGTCTGTCTCTTTCTCTCGCTCTCTTTATTATTTTTGTTTTTCCTCTTTTTTTTTTTTTTTTTTTTCTGTGCGTGTGTGTGTGTGTGTGTGTGGGCAGTGTGTGCGTGTGTGCGCGCTCCCCTCCAGCGTTCACCAAGTCCATTGCTGAGCTTGTACCAAATGGTGTGCTGTGGGGTACTGGGGGTTGCTGGTAGCGCTGTACTGGGCGTTGTATTGCATATGCTGTAGAGACTGGGCGCTATAGGCGGAGAAGGGGATTCCCGTCTGGAAAGTCGCGGCTGCCAAGTCCTGAGCTTTGAGCGTGTGGCAGGGCTTGCCGTCCCTGACTAAGACCGGCACGGCCACCCGCCGCGGGGAGGGGAGAGGAGTCACTTCCATACCTTTCTCGGCCCGGGCCCTCTTCATCTTGTAGCGGTGGTTTTGGAACCAGATCTTCACCTGGGTGGGGGTGAGGCGGATCAGGCTGGCCAGGTGCTCCCGCTCCGGCGCCGACAGGTACCGCTGCTGCCGGAACCGCCGCTCCAGCTCGTAGGTCTGAGCCTTGGAGAAGAGCACCCTCCTCTTCCTCTTCTTCCCCGCGTCCCCTCCGCCCGCCGTCTCCTTCTCGTTGTCGGGCGACTCGTCGGCCGACGGCTCCGGTGATTTGGCCGAGGGGTCCTGGCCGCCCCCGCCGGCCGTCAGCCCGTGCACTGCGGACAGTCGAGCCGAGAGACCGCTCCGTCAGCCGGGGGGGCGGGGGGGCTCCGCGCTCCGCACCCCCCACCCCCCCACACACTCCCCCCCCTCCGCACCCTCCCGCCGCCCGGCCCCGGGGGGCTCTCCCCCGGGAGGGGGGGGGGGGGGGGGATGGATGGAGGCACCGGCGGGGACTCAGCCAGCCGTGGCGAGCGGCACCCCCCCCCCCCATACCCCCCACCCCTCCATACCCCCCCTCCCTCCCCACCGCCCCGCCGCCGGGGGAAGCCCCCGCGGGCGCGGAGCAGCCCGGCGCGGCGCTGCCCCGTCCCCGCGGTACTCACGGGAGTATTGGATGCCCTCGGCGCTCGCCAGCCAGCGCGTGTAGGGATTATCGCTATTATCATAGAAAGGGCTCTTCAAAGGCAGCGTCTGAACAGTGTCCAAGGGGGTTTGTCCCAAAACTCCCGTTTTCTTGGGCGGCTCCGGCGCTTCGCTCTCCTCCTCGCCGCCCTCCGCGGCGGAGCCGTCCTCATCGTTGGTATCGGGGAGGTCCAAAATGTCCTTCACCGAAAAAACCCGTCTTTGTGTTGGTCAGAGACATGTTCCGGCCAAATTTCGGGCAGGAAAGTTGGAGGAGCAGCTTCGCCGATCCGCCGTGTCACGGGCGCACACGCGGAGCCGGCGACAACGACACCCGGCAGCCGGGGGAGGAGGCTGCGGGGCGGCGGCACGCGTGGAGGAGGGAAAAAAAAAAATTAAAAAAAGAAATAGAATACTATAGATTTCTAGAAAAAGTAAACCGGAGGGGTTTGTGCAAAAGAAGGAGCGGAGCCCCGGCCGCAGCGGTGGATCTCTGCGGTGGTGGTTTCTACGGGCTTGTTCTGCCACGGGGGAAATTCAGAGAGCGGGAGCAGCAGCTGGCTTCGGAAATAGTTTGTAACTCCAGGGGAAAGGGGGAAAGACACGCCAAAAAAAAAAAAAAAAAAAAAAAAAAAAAGGAAAAAAAAAAAAAAGATCACTTCTGGATCTTGCTTAAACACCCCGAACCCGTGCCTGCCGCTTGAAAAACCCGAGCCATTGCTGGAGCGAACAGTCCATATAAGGCTGGTCCCCACACATGAACCTGCCGAGAGGAGGGAGAAAAAAAATACATTAAACCCGGGAAAGGTTGGCCACGTGTGGGCGGGTCTTGGAAGTCAAGTGGATGAAGACAGTGTTTGCAGATGTGAAATTGCGGGTTTTGGGCGAGCTCCGAGCTTCCACCATTGGTGATGAGTGGTATAACGTGTCAGTTAATTACCGGCGTGGGGAGGGCCCTTCCGCGCGTGTGTGTGTGTGTGTGTCAGCTAGAGAGGGAGGGTGTGATTTTCTTTTTTTTAAACACAGTATTTACATACAAAGAGCCTCGCACCAGCCCGATATTCCGCACACTCCAAAGTGTGTTTTCTACCGATTGCCTTGAAAAGCAAGGAGGAAATAAAAAAAAAAATAAAAATTGGGGGGGGGGGGGGGGGGCGAGGGGGGGAAGGGTGGGGGGAAAGGAGCGAGGGAGGCTGCGTGCGTGGTTTCCCACCCCTCCCGCGCAGCCTGCGCGCCCACGCAACCCCGGGGGCAGCGCTTTTGCGCGGGGACGCGCTCAAAGCCCCGCGCGGGACCGAAACGAGAGGCGGCTCAGATGGCAAGAGACCAACTTATCTAAACCGCCTAGGTCAATATTTTGGTTGAGGCTTAGGGATGAACGCTGGAAATTAAACAGCAAGTAATTGATTCTAGTTTGCTCCGAAATTAACCGAACTGGCAAAATGCGATCGTCAGTCACGACCCGGGGAGATCCGGGAGGTGATTACTCGTGTGTGGGGGGGAGGCGTTATTTGAAGAGGTCTCATTGATTTTGTCTCCTTCTTCCAGGGGAATAAAACTTAGTCCGTTTGGTTAATTTAATGGGCCAGAGCCCAACAGAATTTCAAATATGACCGAATTATTTTTTAAAATTTTTTCTTTTTTTTTTTTTTTTTATTTTCTTCTTTCTTTTTCAGGGCCTGGGGAAGGAGTGGGATAAAGAAGGGGTTGCTTTCCAAAAAGGGCGTTTTGGGAGGCCGGATCTCCAGGTGTTACCCACGCACACACGCGGCGCCGGCACCCGTGGAGCCTCGCAGCATCCCCGGCGGAGCGGTGCAGCGCTGCGCGGCCGCGGAGGCTCCCCCTGCCCGGCGCGGGGCTGCAGACCGCCCCCTCCCTAACTCTATATCTGTCTGCCACCGACTTTTATTTTAATTTTCCTTCTTCCTCCTCTTTCCTGAAGCCGCCGAGGACCTTTGGCCGTGCGCACCCTCGCCGGGCATGGCCCGGACCTTCCCCTTCCCCTTCCCCTTCCCCTTCCCCTTCCCCTTCCCCTTCCCCTTCCCCTTCCCCTTCCCCTTCCCCTTCCCCTTCCCCTTCCCCTTCCCCAGCCGTCCTGCAGCCGGACCCCGGCCCGGGACGGGCTTGGCCCGGGGATGATGGTGGCTTGCGGGTCCGGGGGGGGCTATAATCTGTGAAGGGGCTTCCCACCACCACCTTTATTTCTGGGAAGGAAAAGTTGACCGAGTTTCTCTTCCAAGAGGAGAGAGAGGGAACGGGGCGGCTGGTGGTGGGAAGAGGAGGAAGACGGTCCCTCAGACATCCCCCGATTTGCCGATCAATGTGTTCGCACCTTCCCCTCCCCGCTCCCCCCATCTTTCCTCCCCCAGCCCCCAGCCTGCCTCCCATAAAGTATGTGATGTGGCTGACAATGCTCAGGGATTTTTTTTTTCCCCCTTTTTTTTTTTTTTTTTTTTTTTTTTTAAGCGAGCCCCTGAGCACATCCTGGGTGGTCGGACCCGCGCAAACACAAATACAACCCTATGGCTAAGCTGGAAACAATGTCCGCAATGTAGACAAATGTCCGGCTTCTGTTGGAACCCTTTGTCTCGGCGCAGTTTTTGCATTTATTTCAGTGGCGAAATAATACGTGATTGACGCCCTCTTTCAATGTGTCCTAACTGTTGGGAATAAATCTGAGGTTGTTCCTAGTTGTCATGGTATTCAACCCCGCTCAGTGGCTATCTCTTCATCCATTTCGGAGTCCTTCCTCGATATCGAGGGAAGCCCTCGGGCGGGCGCTCCCCCGCTCCCCTCTCCCCGGGGGGAGGCGCTTGGGACACGCACCAGGCATATACCTTTAATTTCTAGCAAATCTCGGTCTTATCGATTGATTTATCCCCCCCACACACACACACTCCCCCTCTCCTCGCCCCCCGCCCCGGCTCGACCTGCCCGGAGAGGGGGAGGCGGCGGCGTTTCGCTCTGATGGGGCAGGATGGGGGGTTAATTCCTTCCCGCCGCGGCAACCGAAGGGTAAAAAAAAAAAAAAAAAAAAAAAAAAAAAGAAAAAGAGACGGAATAACAGCGACAATCGCGACAGCGGCAGGGCGACGACACGATATCCCGAATTTAAAAACGCCAGGAGAAGCCAAGCCGGCCAGCCCGGGGAGGAACGGGCAGAGCATCTCCGGGGATGGCGGCCCCTCCTTGGGGCAGCTCCGCTCCCCGTGCCGGGCTGATCAGCCGGGCTTTAAATAATTATAACAATAATAATTAATAATAACAACAATAATAATAATAACCCACCCAAACCCAGAGAGATGCGTAAATGCCACAACACGGACAGAGCGTCCTGCAAACCCCCTCGCGACGTGGGGCCCGACGGCGGTGGCAGCGGGGGATGCCCACGGGAGGAGGCCGAGCCGTTCAGTCGCTCGAAGGGGGGGACACAGACCCAGCCCGACCCCCGCCACGGGTGGGGGGTTAGGGGGAGCTTTGGCCAATCCTAAGACCCACCCCAGAGGCAAAGGGGGAACCGGCGGTAGCGGCGCGGTAACACGGGGGGAACAATGGTCTCCTGTGGGCACACAAAGCCCCGGGGGCCGCGGCCCACTCCCCACGCCTCCCCTGGGCCCAGAGGCGGGGGGGATCCCACGCGCGGGCAACGCTGCGGACCGAAGCCGCTCTCCCTCCGCGCCATGACGTCACCGGCGAGGGGTGACGTGAGAGCCGCTCGGGTCCTTTGACGTCAGGAGGGGTCGCAGGGCCAGGACGCAGCCCCTCGCCTCCTGTGTCCGGAGCCGCGCTGCGTGGGGGAGGGGGGGAACACCCGACGGCAGCCCGGCGGCTATCGCGACAGAGCCCGGGGGCCCGCTCCCCGCCACCCTTCGTAGCTTTCTCCCCTCCTCTGGGAGCCCACCGGCCGCCCGGACCTCCCCACGCGCGGGACCAGCCGGGTGGTGGTGGTAGGGGGGGGAAGGATGCTCCAGCACTACTGAGAGGGGGTGGCGCGGTAGGGGGGGCCTGCGGGGGTGGGATAGGGGGCGGAGGGCGGCTCCCCAGCCTGCTCCCCCCGGGGCGCGGTGCGTGGACACAGGTGGAGTGGCCTCACTTGTGGCCGAGTGTCTCTGCGACCGGGGTGGATTTGGGGTATTTACCTGTTTACTTTCACAGGTAGCTCAAACACCCGCCATTCGCCCCTGCTCCCGCTCCGCTGGTTGTCGCCCCCCTCCCTGAGCCGCGTGGGGAGCGGTCCCTCCGCCCCACGGGCAGCGGGTGTTGATTTTAGCGGCATTAAAGCTTTTATTTAAAAAAAAAAAAAAAAAAAAAAAAAAGCGGCGGAAGAGATACTCGGTGCGGAATAAGAGCCCTTCTGAGACGCTCTCCGCGGCCACGGTGCCTAGGCAGGCGCGAGTCCCCCGGTCACGCGTGGCGGGGGTGGCCCGGCCCCGCCGCCCTGTACCCGCAAAACGAGCGGGCGACACGGGGAGCGTGGCGGGGAGGAAAAGCAGCCCCTACGGCCCGGGCGGGTGGACGTAGTGGGGTTTCTCCACGCCACGGGCGTGCCCGTGGGTTGTGTTTTTAAACGGCGAGGTGCCTGCGCTTGCTTCACCGCGCTTCTCCTCTCGCCGGCGGCCCCGCAAAGCGCCGCGTCTCTCCCTCTGTTTTAAGCCACCGACGCCCCTGACTTCATTCCCTTCTCTGTCCAGCGATACGGTATACATATATTATGTATAAAAATATATAATCTAGATAAAAATGAAAGAAAGGGTGTTCGGCAAGAGTCTTCCGCTATCCCTCCCCTCCCTGCGCGGCTCTCTAGCACTGACCTCTCACCCGTCCCCGCACCACAGCTCCGATAACAGCCGTCAAGTGGATTAGTTTATTGTTTGATTAGACCAAAGGTGCGAGCTATTGTTTTCCTTCACTCCAGACCACAAATAAACAAACAAAAAGGACTGCACCTCGGTGCGGATCAGCGAAGCCCACACAAAGGCTTTGTTAGGGGGATAGGTTTATTTTATCTCTCAGAATGAGCTACACTTGAAATAAATAGGGAAAGGGACGCGCAGCCCATGTCGCTCCTGGTAATTGTTATTAGGAGCTTCACCTCAGGAGCATCCCCTGTAAGCAACACCCTCTTTGTTTTAAAGTGTGGCGGGGGAAAGGAGAGCCGCGTCATTAAAGAGCACATCTTTTGTTGGCGATAAAAAACAAAACAAAACAAAAACCAAAACAAAATCAACAACAAAATATAAATAAAACTCCACCTTCTAAATATCCCCCCCTTGACCCCCGCACAGAGGGTTTTAAATCGCGTTCCCCAGCGATGAAGCGGCAGCTCCGCAGAGATGCTGCCGGCTCGGCGGCGGCTCCGGCTCCGGGGGGACGCGGCCACGCCAGGCCGTGGGAAAAGGAGCGGGGACAGGGGACCCACGCCACCGGATTACCTTGCACACCGGGCCGAGGGAGGTAGGGAAGGGTGTAAAAAAATCGTATCTCCTGAAATCAGGGGGAACCAGACCCCTCCGAATCCTCAGTCGCTTGCAATAACTTAATTGTAACGTGTGGGGGTCGGAGTTTCTGCGGGGTGAAATTCCCGTTTCTTTTCACAGCTGGAAAAATGGCATTAACAAAGGCGTTAAGGATGTTTTTTTGGAAAAAAAAAAAAAAAAAAGATGGGGGGGGAAAGAGGAAGATTCCCCCAAACACAGAAAGGGAGCCTTCTCTACCGAGGCTCAGGAGAAAGCCCCTGCCACCCCCAAAATCCCGGCGCCGGCCTGCCTTTCTCCCGCAGACAATTAAATCTTCTCCAGGACATAGGAATCTAAATGAGCTTTCCTAGTCTCACGATTACTCTATCTCCTTCCCCCCGAAGCTTCAAAGACGGAGAAATCCTTCCAATTCACCGATATTACTTATATATTTGTAGATCTAGATCTAGCCTGCCCCCAACCAACCTCCCGAGGTGGTGAATTGTAATAGAAATTGGGAATTTTTTTTCCCCCTCCTCCCTGGGGGGCTAGCGGGGTTATGTCAGAGCCGGAGGGCACATGTTAGGGCTTTGATAAATGCACTTTAATGAGATCTTTGAAAATATTGCCAATAGTGGCGGAGGCAGTTTGTTAAGGCCATGCGTGCGAGCACAAAGCCGGGAGCCCGCAGCCCCCCGCATCCCGCAGCCCCCCGACCCAGCTACTTGCTTGTCTTATTTAATTCCTCCCCGCCCCGCCCAAAGCTGTAAACCCGGCCCGGGGCCTTCCTTCCCTTTCCAGTCTATTATAAACTGTTTTATTTGCCGGGCAAACGTTTCGTGTGTGTGTCCCCCCCCCTCCCGCCCCTTCCAGCCTGCCCCCCGGCTGTATTCGGTCCCGTCTCTCTAATGATTAAACGTGTCCCAATGAGATTAAGCTTTGTCAGAAATGTTTCTCCTCGGGAAGGAAAACCCGACCCGTTTCGCCGAGGGCGGTGGGATTGCGGGGGATTTACGGCCGAGAGCACTTTCTTATCTGAATTTACTTCTCCCAGCCGCACGCACAACATGGAGGGCTTAGCGGGGAGCCCGCGTGTGCGCGCGGGTAGCTGGTGGGTGTGTGTCGCGAGTGGGGGGGTGCCGGGGATCCACGTTAAACCTCCGAGGAAGACTGCGGTGCCCGCACGCCCGGTGCAGGGGTGGGAGCCGGGGGGGTGGTGCCAGGCTCTTTTTGGGAGAAAGATGGGGAAAGGTCCACCCAGGGAGGGCGGGGGGGGGGGGGGTACGGGACGACGCCACCTGACTCAAGTGGTCGGGCCCGAGTCGGGGCGCACACGCGCGGCGTGGGCGACACCGGGGAAGCGAAGGGAAGGAGGGAAGGCGGGGGGAGCGGGGCGGCGGGCAGAGTCGGGGCCGGGCGGGGGCCGGGGCCATTCCCGGTCCTCTGGCGGACTCTGCCGTCGCAGCCGAGAAGTGTCCCGCCGCCGGAGGCAGGGGCGGGGAGGGGATGGGGGACGGGACGGGAGACGGGACGGACGCGCCCCCGGCTCCCCCCTGCCCAGGCCAGGCGGGCGGAGCGCCCCGGCGGGGCCGCGCTTCCCCCCGGCCCCGCTGCTCGGGGGGGGGGGGCGGCCGGGCGCTCACCCGGGACCGGGACCGGGGCCGGGGGCGGACCGGGCCGTCGGAGCCCCGCCGTCGGGGCTGGAGAGACGCTCCCCCAGCTTTCTCCCCGTTTCTCCGGAGGCCGCTCGGTATCAACTTCTACCTGCGCCGCCGCCCCCCACCGTGTGTGTCTCCGTCCACCCCCCGCAAGCCCCTTCCCACCTGCTGCTCCCGGTTCTCTCCCGGGTTTCTCCCCCCTCCCGTTTTTGCCGCTGTCCCTGGCGCGGACCCCCTCCCCGGCAGCCCCCGCAGCCCCCCTGCCCATCGCGGCGGGGCTCACCTGGGGGGTCCCTAGGCGGGGGGGGGCTGAGGGCGGCGGCGGCGGCGGCGGCGGCTCCGCGCCTCTCGCATTGTCTCCGCCGAGTGCAGGGCGGCCGCTCCTTCCTCCGGCTTTACATCGCCCGGTCTGTTTGCTTTCCTCCCCGGCGGGTGACGCCAGGCGAAATACTGGCCATATGTTCAGCGGTAATAAATTGGTTATAAGCGCAAACACGCCGGTTCCTGGATGGCTCTTTTAAGCCTGCCCCGGCCCTGCCGCTGAGCCGGCCCCTCTTCCCCCGGGGGGCAGAGCCCTCCCCCCGGCCCCCCTTCCCCAAAGATGCGGAGAAGCCGCTTTCTGCCGGCGCGGGGGCTCCGGCCCCGCGCAACCCCCCCGGCGCTGCCCAAATCCTCCCTCGCCCACCGCTCCTTCCTTCCCACCTCGCTCCTTCCCGCCTCCCACCCCGCTCCGCCTCGGGGCAGCCCGCAACTTCCCCGGCCCAGCCTGGGCTGCTCTTTAACAAGCTCGCCCTCTATAAATCGCTCGGTAGCTAAGACGCTATAAAAACCAAATAGCCAGATGTGGCACGTTATTTATGTGTGAAAGCTCGTTTACATTAGATATGCTGATCCGAGCTTTGATAGCAGGGGTTTGCAAGAGATTAGAGCTGGGTTGCCAGAGCCGGCTCCAGCTGCAGCCTCCCTCCCCTGCCCCTTTTTATTTTTTCCTTTTTTTTTTTTTTTTTTTTTAAATTGTAATTTTATTTATTTATGTGCTGGTTGTTTTTTGTTTCTTTTTGTTTCGTTTTGTTTTGTTTTGTTTTGTTTTTTAACGGGGAGGCAAAGAAAAGGTGATAGGGGGGCGGGGGGGAGTCACACTGTTTGACTTTCCTGAAGCTGGAGATGAAAAGTGGTACCCGGTTGCAAGAGGCTCCTGCAAAAGCTACGACCCTCTCCACAAATACAGACAGAAATATGAAGAGGTTAGAGCTGGCCAGAAGGGCTTTCTGGGCATCTGAGATTGGTAGTCCACCTCCTTTCCAAAGACTGTGGCTCAGGTAAACCCCACCAACGCAGCCCTGCTGCACGAGGAGCCCTGCAGCTCTGAGGAGCCGTCCACACCACCGGGCTCAGGTTAAATTGGGGCATTTCCTTGGGAGTCAAGCCCCATGCAACAAAAGTTGGTGCTGCCTCATTTTAATCCACAGGGGTCTGCAAATGGAGTAACTCTCGGGGCATGCTTCAGACATTTTTCAGGAAAGCTGCTACACCACATATCTCTGAATAGAAGCACAAAGTCCCCTTGAAGAGGTGGAGGGAATGTCACTGGTGACTGCTGGGGCTACAGGGAAGGTCACAGGGGCCCTTCTCCATCTCACCTCATCTGAATTCTCTCCATCACCTGCCATAATTTTAAAAGCACTGGAGAGACCTTGGACTCCTCTGTGAAACTCCCCAGGGCCCAGGACAGATATCTCTTAGCTAAATACCCCGGTCACAGGCAGATCTAACAGAGCTGCCCATAGATAAAGTGATTGATCCTTACACTAATCAATAAAGATCTTGTTCTGAGCAATTAATAACTTTGCCAAGCTTGTTTTGTTTGGATAAAGAAGTGCCCAGATTACTGACTGAGGCAGTGAAATTGGGGAAAAAAAATATCCTGTTGCCCACATAAAAATACAAATGTAAATAGTTAGCTCTCTATTTACATACCTGCAAAGTCCTCAGCTTTCATAACAAGAAATTCAGTCTGGATGTCTGGGATGTGTCTTACTACGTCCCCAGGTAAAGCTGCGCAGAGGGGTCTGAGCTTGCACTTGTATACGTTTGGCTGTAAACTTGTACAGGAGGTGCGAGCCTGTGGGTGCGAATCCCCCTGCGGCAGAGCTGCTGTGGTCCCACCGCCCCCCCAGCTGCGGGTCCTGCCTCCCCGGCAGCCACACGGCACAGTGGGAGGAGGAGTGTGGGAGAAAGGCGAGGGTGCAACAGCTGGATTTGGGGCAGGTGAGGGAGGGTCAAAGGGGACCCGAGGAGGGAGGGAGAATGAGGCTGGGAGCAGCTGGGTGAAGCTGGGAGAGGAGGAGGATGGTCCGTTGCTGCAGGAGCAGCGAGCTGTGCCTTCAAGAGGCTGAGCTGAGTCTGGGCTCAGGGCTGCTGCCCCTGCCCAAGCGTGGAGAGCAACCCCCTGGGCAGGGAACTTCTCCCAGCCCCAGCCCGATGCTGGGTGACACAGGACCTGCCTGCTGATGGTGGTCCAGGTGAAAAGCACCACGGTACTCCGGGCCCTGCTGATGTCCCCTGTGACCGTGACAAGCTGTCCCTTGGACTGTATTGTAAAACATGCCTCTACTGTTTTATTAATAAAACCATTTTGTGTCCATTACTGAAATCAAACCTTTTCGGAGGGCTTTTTTGGCACCTGATTCGTGTGTCCCACCACCCCCTAGAACTGCTGAAAGCCAAACTGTCAGGCTCAGAGTAAAGCCACATCAAACCCACGTGGCCTTGTTTTGTTCAGTCGTGGAAATTAAAGCTTTATTTGTGAGTGCAAACAGGCTGGGAGGTTCTATCGGAAGGTATGTTTCACAGGTGGGGGAGGATTTTTAGGTATTTAGTGGTTTGTAGGATCATCAGGAAATGTGGCTTCAGGAGAAAAGGTGGAAGAGCAGAGGTCAGGATGCCTTTCCTATGCGGGTTTGTTCTCTCTTCCTTAAACAGCTCCAATAATTTTGTTGGAGAAGGCTGGACTCTCAAACCAGAAGGATGCACTGGGAAGGGCTGCCAGATCCCTTCCAGCTCCAGGGAGAGAATAAATGACACCAAACCAGTGATAAGCTGTTGCTCAGCTCAGCCCTCCCCGTGGTGTTGTGCCCTCTCCATCTTCTCCTCCTTGAGCAGCTCTGTGGGACAGGTGTTTGCTTCCCCCATCCATCCCTGTCACCCTTCCTCCCAGCACCCAATACGCTGCCCATCTCCAAGAGGCAAGAGTGGAAAACCCTGTTCCTGAAATATCCTGCGCAGAGCCTCTCAGAGAGGTGTGAGGTGGATGGTCTGGACCCCAGTTTGGAGAGGTTGGGCTGGGATCCACTTTGTCACAGGATGGTTATTTCTAAGCATCTGCAGCCACAGCCTCAACTTCTCTTGCGCAGAGTCCACTGGCACCTCTTTGTGCCTCTGGCTCTGGGCAGGGCCATGGATTATGAGTCGCCATGTGCCCCAGAGGAGGGAAAAGGGCTTTTCACATTTCAAGGCTTTCTCAGTTCCTCAGCAGGATATTCCAGCTGGGTAAAGTGACATCCCTTGGTTACTACTGGTGCTGGTTTTGAGCCAGTTCAGGCTACCTTGGCCCTGTTAATAACCCCCTTCATGTGCATGACCTCAGTGCCCCCCCCCGGGAAGCAATGTCTGGAGGCTGGGTTGAGGCTGTCAGGGTATGGCACCAGCACAACACGCAGGATGGACCCGTTTCCAGCGTTTCTGAACCTGCTGATTCTGCTTTGGCCTGTCCAGAAGCTGGTCTGATGGTGCACGGAGGGGAAGCCTCAGGTATGGCCCAGGGGGCCTGAAGACGTGTGGGCTGCTGTTGTGCATCCACAGAGCCCGGGGAGAGCCCCACTCAGGAGTTTTGGGCTGTGGTCCCTGGAGAGCGTGGGTGTCTGTGCCAGTTAAGACCAGATGCAGAGCCTGGGCTGGCTGCACAAGCTGGGGCAGACGTGAGCCCAAGCATTCCCAAGAAGTCTCTAAATCCTGGGATAAATCTTTTCTTGCAAATCAAAGGGAAATGATAAGGGTTGGTTCCTGGGCTTGGGATGCTCAGGGCTGATCAGGTAGGGTGAAAAAAAACCCCGAGATTTCCTTGGCTGAAGGAATATACTTCCACCTTTTGTACACACACTCCTACTCCTTTCACAAACATGAAGGAATTCAAATTGACCAGAAGGTCCTCCCCAGGAGAGGATGAGAACTAGGGGAAGATGCTCATATTGCATCATGTGTCAGGATACATCGGGTTTTGGTGAAGAGCAAGAACAGTTTCTGTTAAGTCTGGACTGAGTAGTCCCTTGTTCCAGCCTGGTTTTTATAATGGATAAAAAAGACAACCTGTTTACCACCTAAACCTTTGATGCTGGGGGGAGAGTGATGGAGGAGATGGGAGAGGGGATGAGAGAGCACACCCACACGCCGCTTTAACAACCTTCACGCACTCTGAGTTGGGTGACTGGTGTGTTTGAGGAGCCAGGAGAAGACTATCTGTGCCAGCAGAGCCACGGCGTGTACACACCTGGGATTAACAGATGGCTGTGGGTTGTCCCTGCGGGGCTGAGCACACAGCGCAATCTGGCAGCAGCAAAGCCCGCACCTTGGACTGGGGCTCACTCTGGCTCTTCTTCACCGTGTCTCAGCTGGCTGGAAGAGGTGGGGGGGGAAGGAGGAAGGCTATGGAGAGGTAGATGTGAATTATCCCTTTTGTCCAGGCTTGATTTGGAAGTGGGCATTGTTTCTTTTTTTTTTTTTTTTTTTTTTTTTTTTTTTTTTTTTTTTTTCTGGGGATTGAAATGAGGAGGAGCGGGAGCAATTGTTGGTGGGAGCTGGTGGGGCACTGAGGCTGGTGCCGGGATGGGGGCAGATGGGGACACAGCAGCCTCAAGTCATGACATCTGTGCTCAGCCACCAGCCCTTGCCTGGGGAAGATGGTGTATTGGGGGAGTGGTGGGGTCCTGCAATGTCAACAGTTTCACATGAGCTTTGGGGACTCCCTGGGGGTGCTGTGGGCTTGTTCTGGTGTCACCCACCCGGCAAGGCCAGAGCTGTTCCTACCAGGGGCAGGTTCCCTATGTTTTCAAGGGAAGATCCATGTTCCTGGGGAAGCTTCAGAAAGGGGGAGAGCGAGGGATCTCCCGGTGATATCAGTGACGCTCCCACTTAGGTTGATTTTCTTCTCTCTTAACCAAGCCTGTTCATCCAATTCTCTTTCTCCATAGCTAACCTTGATCTTTCTATGTGCACCCAAGTTTTTGTATGATATTTGCCATCGTGACGTTTGACTAAGAATTCCCATGGAAGTTGCTTTACATGGATTTCGCTCTCAGTGGACCTGCCATGAAAAATAGGTACCCATCTGTTCAAATTGACCTGTCTGCCATGCACAGCTGGGAAAGGTGAGTCTTGCCTAGGATAGTCTGTCCAACTTTACTGAAGATGAAACAGATTCACTGGGGTAGGTGAATAGGTGTGAATGAACCAAAGCAGATTTTAAAAAAAAAAGGAAACCAAGGGAAAGAAAGTGACACTGATGCCATAAACCCTGCAAGCGACGTGGGAACCAACTGGGAAGCCACAGATAAGGAGTGCATCGTGGCGTATCGCGGGCACCCCATCAATCACTCGTCCATCTCCAGGCGCCTGGACCCCGGTGCGGTGGGAGCGGGCGGGAGCGTGGCTGTGGCATCACTGTCACTTGGGATCAGGGAGGCTGCTGGCGGGGATGCTGCTGACACGGGCTGCGGTGCTGGCTGGTGTGGGAGGAGAAATCGCAGGAGCGGAGCAGGATCCCCCATTTCAGTGTCCTCCCTGGAAGTGCCCGGGGAGGATTTGACCTGATATCATCCCCAATACTCTGATGGAGATGGGACTCATTGGCCACAGGGCTACTCTGGATGATCTGGGAGCTGAAATAAAGTGCTGCTTAGCTCATATTTAATCTGTTTTCATCACTTTTCAGCTGAGTTGGCCCATCACTAATGATGTTACCCGGGCTTCCCTACGCAAAACCCCAGTGACAGTGGAAGCACTGGCTGCCGATGCTCCCAGGTACGTCTGGTGCTTGACATGCCGGCGTGCAGCAATGAAACCCCAGCTGGAGCAGGTCAGCAGCACCGTGAGCTTCAAGGACTTCCCTGGGAAAAACCTGATGCATCCGAGGTGACAGTGTGACAGAGGATACTGCAAGGGTTGTTCAAAGTTGGATTTGGGAGGGGGCTTACTGCCCAGCTTCTTTCGTCTCCCTGGAAACAGGATAAAAATCTAGTGATAAGAAAAGTCAAGCTCTGTCCCCAGTGGAACAGTGCAGCTCTTGTCGGGGCTGCCCCAACGAGGCGGGACAGGCAAAACCTACAGCTCTGCACCTTGAAACCCAACACTAGGAAAGCAGATCTGGGGAGGGGCTGGGGAGCTGGAGGGTCTGCAAAGAGGAGGAAGAGGGTGAGAGGGGGCTCCGAGGTCTATGATAGCCCCAACAGGAGTTTGCACCGTCAGCACCATCCCAAGAAGAATATCTGAAGGACTTTTTCTTTCCTTCCCCAGGTTCTCCTCATCAAGGCCCCTCCTGAGCCCAGGAAAAGGGTCCTCCTTGCAGGCAGGTGCATGGCTAGGTGCCAAACAAGCCAAGCCAAGCCAAGCCCAGCCCAGCCCAGCCCAGCCCAGCCCAGCCCTGCCCTGCCCTGCCCTGCCCTGCCCTGCCCTGCCCTCTACCCATCCCCACGCCCCCCCCCCCGGGCTACATAAGCCCTGCCTGGGGGCTTGTTTGGGCTTTGCTGCCCAGGCTGCTCCATCCCTGGGGTTTCTGGCAGATGCTGATACCTGAAAGCAGGCAAGCGGAAGGCAAGGTAAAGGTGGCATGAATGTTACACATTAACAGTGTGACCGGCTGCTTTTTCCTTCTGTCTTGTGACTGTTCCTATTACCAGGGACCTTGGTGCGGCTGCTCTGGCTAATGTGTAATCCCAGATATTTGCTGCTGCCTTCTATGAGGATGTCCCAGTAGCTAAGGTGGCTCAGTGAGGTGGGGGCTGTGCCCATGGAGGTAGGTGGCATGTGCAGGGGAGAGTATTTGATGTTCTTGATCTTTATGGAGAAATATTCCTCTGGTGCCCCTAAATATTTCCTTGTGGGCATAAAGCAACCCTGGGGAGCTCTTGCACTGAAATCAGTTTATACTGAGTCTGTTTTCCTGGTAAAACCTGGCTAATGAGATATTAGTGTTTCCCCCACCTGCTCGGCTGGACTGCTTGAGATGTTTGGGCTGCTGGTGCCTGGCCTGTGGGGTCATGTCTTTGGTGGGAATTGCAAACATTGAGCTGCTGGAGTTGCAAGTGGTGCAGTGGACCTGTGCTGCTTCCTCTGGATGCTGAGGCTCAAGGTGCTGCATCGTTATTGTTTATATGCACATAGAAACTAATAGCACTGTTGTAGCTATTCCTAATCATAGCCTTGCCATGGTAATAATTAAAAAATACATTGATTGGTCCTTCTCCTTGGTGAAACTCTGACTTTTCTTGCTGTAGAGAAGCCTTTATTGATTTGCACTTCCCCCCCCACTAAGACTTAAGTAACTGGGACTCCAAGCCCAGGAAGAAGTAGGACAAGCTACTGGCTGGCAGGTCTTGGGCAGGCAGCAAGTTCTGGTGTGAGCCTCCTTTTCTTTCAAGCAAGATGGAACAGAGAAAGTGCCCATTTTAGTTGTTGTTCCCCCCCTTTTTTAAAAGTACCTATGTTAGATAATGATTCTCAAGGGTTTGTTTGTAATTTTTTTTTTTCCTCTTAGTACAACTAAGTAAACTCTTTTGCTTATGAGATAGTGCTACATACTCCACATATTCCAATAGTAGGTCACATTATGTACTAATCAGGATGCTAAATACTGTCTGTAAACCGAAGTTTTTCATCAAAGGAGAAGACCTGAGTGAACAGCTGAGTCAAGTAATGAATATCAGGAGGGTTCTGCTCTTCAAAGGCAGAGAAATGTTGATTCTTTTTAAGATAAAAGCTTGATGTTTAAAAAAAATAATTGGACATAAACCTAAAAGATTTACTTATCACAAAATATTATTCACACCCATGGCAGCAGTCTGATTTCCTCCCCCACAGCAGACTGGAAGGTATTCTGTTGTAGTCTAAAAAAAACCCTGATGCAAGTAAGAAGCAGAAAGGAGCAAAACTGCTGCTGGGCAGAAATTGGCCAAGTTGGAGACTTTGGTTTAGGGGTTCTTCAAAAATTTGGGTGCCTTTACAATGCTCCTTGCTGGGTGTGTGGAGGTGCTCGTTGCTTGTCTTTGCTGGGAGGAGAGCAGCATAGGCAAGCCCAGCTTTGTCTCCAGGGCTCACCAAATATGTTTTATGTTTCCTGCAACTATTTGGGGGTGTAGGGGGAAAATGGGAATTATGTTCTACTTCCACTATTAAGCATGCAAAGAGAATCAGCAGGCAGGCCTTAAAAATTAGGAGATTAGCTGAAAAAGGGGGGAGAAAAAAGCCCCCCCACCACTCTGAGCTATACAAGAGCAATTCTAGTCTAGTCTTCTACAAAAGCCTGGCTCTTGCATAGAGTAGAAATGCAGGCAAGCTGATAAAGCTTTTGACTAGCAGTTTAGTTGAATGCTGAATGCCTGACCCATGTTATAATCTGAAGGTAATTAATAGGCTGTGATGTAGGTAGGGAGATGCCTGGGCTTTTTCTCACTGTACCTAACCAGTTTGGGATTTTTTTCTCCCACTCTCAGATAACACTCAAATGTAGTGAAACTAAACCAAATGAGCTTCTTGGAGTAATTTTTGTATTTTGCCTCTGTAATCTCTGGGTTTATTTAAATATTCTTGTTGCAGTTATTTTCTGAGACTTTTTTCATGTCAAACGTCTCCTGTTGAATAACTCCTCAGACACTGTAATTTCAGGATCAACAATGATGCTGACAATAGAGGAAAAAATTACATTGTGAGGCACAGAAAAACGAGTCCATATTCCCATCTTTATTCTGCTGTTCAGAGAGCATTAATGTATCTGTAGTCCAAATTAATACAATGATCAACTTTCTCTTTAGGCTACTTTTGCTCAGATTTTTACAAAAGACAGAAGTATATGTTCACAATAATTAGAAGCACCATGAGACTTGTGACCTCAGGTAGGAAAGCGCATGAATGCAAGTGTGTAAAGCAGAGGCTCTCTGGGACAGGGGATGCTTCAGGCAGTAGCAAAAATGTTTCTAAAGCCCAGGACTCAGGCTCTTTGGTTCCCATTACTCCAGCCACTCTTGCTCTGACTTCCAGGAGGCTGTAGCTGCTAGTGCTTCAACCAAAGCAAGTCTTGTAGGCATCAGCGTACTTGGAAGCTTCACTTTTCTTGTTTATAAAGCTGGTCCAAGCTTAAAGATGTTTAGGCACTTGTTTCATCCAGTGCATCCCTAGTGGGGACACCCTGGGGGGATGCAGGTGCTTGTTCGGGGAGTTTCTCAACCCTCCTGGCTGACACCAAACTTATAAACAGGATCAGGATCCTTACTTGAAAAAAAGAAAAAAATCCCAAACCCTCAAACCAAACAAAAAACCCCCAAGAAACTCAAGTGAAACCATCACTCCCCTCACCCTCTGCAGTCACCAGGCAAGGTTTACCCCGAGTTCCCTGTGCTCGTGTTTGCAGGGCTCTGAGCTCCTGAACGAAGCACAACTACACAAAATTGGCCTCTTCCCTCTTGCAATCCCTACATTTTGGGTGACCACGCTCAAAGCTCAGGGGTTATAGTCCTTGGGGAGCAGGGCCGTTTGCTTCCTCCCCCATCCCAGACTCCCCGGGTAGGTACCTCACTAGGTGATGTGGTGTCCCCTCCTTGGGAGAAAGAAGCTTATGCGAGTCCCTGGTGAATTGCACTACCTGACCAACAGAGTGGTAATTAGCATGGCTAATTAAATTAGCTGACAGCCTTCCCCTTGCTACCCTGCTCCCACTCCCTCCTCTTCCTGGGGGTTTGCTCCCAGCCTCAGGGTGCCTCCCCTCCACCTCTGGTTCTCAGGGCGCTTCGTTTTGTGCTAGTACTAAAACCAAACCAAAGCTAAAGGAGAGTGGTACGTTGGGGAAAGATGCAAAATGACTGGCTCCCACCCCTGGCCAGGAAGATCAGGCTGCCTCTTGAAAAGATCTAGAAGAAATTAGCCAACCCAAAGCACTATTTTCACACAAAACATCAGGTGTCCTCTGCAGTGGGGTAACAGAGATGGTTTCCTCCTCTTTACCAGTCCCTGTGGTTTTACAGGGCAACTTGCTTCGTTGGTACCAGAGGAGAATTTGAGCCACAGGCATTATTTTATTTTTTTTAAGCAGTAGCCCACATGACTCCAGTGCACAGGACTGGAATTCAGCAGGCTAAAGGCTTCAGTGCTGTTAATCATTATTCACTAAGGCAGAAGCCTGTCTGGAACCGGGGGTGCAGCACGCAAGCCGGAGGAAGAGATGACAGCTCAATGAAAGAGGTTCAATGACTTGTTCTTCATGTCCTGGACACCTGGAATATTTTCCTTGAACTTCTTGCATTCAGTCTAAAGCCTTACATTATTTTCTGAAGGACATCAGAGATAATTTTATTCATAACAGAATAAATTCTGTGACTGTCTGTAAAAGAATAAATGAAGAGACTTAACACAGCGGAGGATATGGAACATGTCACAACTGTGGCAATTCATTGAATATGCAGCATGTCTTTCTCAACTTAAGTGAATTGAAGAGCTTTAAATATATTCACCAACTCTTGTAACTACAAAAAAAGTAAAGCAAGTGCATTACTGGGGTGGCAGGTGTCAAGTGACTTAGCATTTTAACATTTTCATTATGCTTGGGAACAGTAAACAGAAAAGCAAGCCAAGGTTTTTTCCTATAAATTGCATTAGGTTTCTAAATGATACATAGTGAACCCAAAGCCAGCACAAAACCTGGGTGAACTGAAAGAAGAAGCAATAGGAAATCATCATTTTTTTTTTCTCAGGGTGACAAGTGCGCAGACACGGGTGGGTGCGTTTGTCACAGCTGAAGTTTTCCTGTCCTCTTGTGGAAGGAAGGGCTGATCCCAGTGCCCAAAACCCCTGGCTTTGGAAAACACTTGGGGAGGATTCCCAGCTTTTTGGGCCTCCTGGTGATTCTGTGCTCTCAGGAAATGTAGCAGCAAATGACCGAAATCCTGACGGATTGTGCCCGGGTGCCCTGGCAGGGACAGGGGGAGCTCCTGGATGTCGGCACATCGGTGAGGCCCACTGGGTGCTCCCACTGGTCTTGAAGCTGGGAAATACTGGGTAGCAGAAATACTAGGGAAAGGGGTCCTCTCCTGAGACAAGCGTATCGCAAGGATGCGGTGATGCTCGTGAATGATTGAGGAAGCAGCGATCTCCTCTGTTGTTAGAGGGAGGCGATGATGCTGCAACTCACCTCTGCGAAAGCTGCCTGTGGCTTGGTGCTGGTACACCGGGGCTGTCTGTGCACAACCGGAGCTGTAACCATGCGAAGGACACCTTAGCATGCCCAAACACGAAGGGTTGGCTCGCCGAGGCTGCAGCAGAGAGCCATGGCACTGCATTGAAGCCCCATCTTACAACCGGCTGGCTCCAGAGGTCTCGCAATGCCCCCCCCAGCTCCTGCTGTGCTGGAGCCCACTCTCTCCTGCTGCAAAACACCTGCTCCCTCGCTGAGCAAAGCCACAACCTCTGCCGAGGTGCCGGTGCCGGCACAGTGAATACAGCGGGGCTCGGTGCGCCTCAGCGCCCGCGGCACAATGCGCCGGGCTCTTTTGTGACTCCCTGACTCGGGAGCTCTCTGCATCTGTTCGAGGTTGAAGTGGCTCTTGGGCTGTTTAAAGGTTGAGTGCTACTGCTCCAAACGACGGAAGACAGATTCGGTTAAATAAACACAGGGGCTTAGAAATAAATTGAAGGTTACGTGAAGAGCTGGATCGGAATATAATGTTGTCAGACACATTAGAACATGCCGATCTGAATGCAGCTCTCCAGCCATATTACTCTGAAATGTGTTTTGACACATTCCCCGTAAGTCCCTGCCACTGGGAATGCGGTGGGGAGAGGGGGGGGGCGGGCAGTGAGGGGCTCAGACGTAGGCCGGGAGTGGGAGAAAGAGGATGGATGGAGAGTGACTGGGAACCCACTCGTGTAAATAGAAGAAAACCAATAGTAGTCCTGCTGCCTCTTAATTACAGCACATTCAAATTTTTTCCCTCTAGTAGACGTGTAATTGCTCTGTAAGTAGCTGTATGGGGTCCATGAAGATGGCATGAATCTCCTGCCGTTGGCTCTGGCCATCTTCTACCCTCAATGCTTTGTCATATAATATAGGCTTTAGAAAGCTGTATTCTTCCTTAATAACTGAAGATACTGTTTTACTGCCTGGGAGATTGTTTGGGTTTAATTCCAGCACATCAACAGCTTTCTGCAAGGCGAAGGCAGTGCACTTTGATTTAATTCTTGCCCCCTATAAACAGGTATATGTTCTGGATGTTGTTTTTGTAGTGCTATAACAACTTTGATTTGGAGAGCACTTTTCGGGGGCGGGGGGGGGGACACACACACTGAAATGGCCACAACGGTATAACTCCAATCACAGCAATACCAGCCTCCCCTGCACGAGTGCAGATGTTTTCATGCTCGCTGGTACAAACGCTTTCCCACCGGTTGGCTCTGCTGAGGGCAGAGCTGTAACTTCTGTGCCGAGGTGGTGCTGGTGGAGCCGGAGCGGGGCTGACCTGCGCTCAGCGATCCTCGGCAGGGGTGAGGGTTCAGCGTGCTGTTTGTTCAAGGTGTCTCATTGTGGAGCAGACCTCCTCTTCATGCCCGTGTGAGCATGCCGATAATCTCCTGCCTGAGAACAGCATCATGTGAAGTGTGTTTATGCTGGCGTCGGGGAGGAGAGTCCCAGTGGATACACCACAAGATTATTCTGCCATGGCTTAGCTCATTTTTCCACTTGTCTCCTTTTGCAGTGTTTCACACCATCCAGACCACTTGCCTGCCCCAAGATGAAAATTCCAATTTATGTGGGGAGAACTTTCCAACCAAAATTTTTTTTTTTTGATTGAAACAGTTGTTCTTCTGCAAAACGTCTTCTCTTTTTTTTTTCCATAAAGTTATACAGTCTTTTTAATTTTGGTTTCTAGCGAATGCTTCAGAGCAGACTGGTCACCTTTCCCTCTGCCCTTAGGTGGGGAGCCCTTGGCAGTGGCCGTGCTCTCGCATCCTGGCTGTTGAGGCAGGAGGGAAATCCTGGCACAGCCCACCTCTGTGTCTGGTGGCTGTAGGATGGGTCCCAGTCCATAACAGAGTTCTCTGGGGGATGGCTAGGGCAGCAGTAACACAGGGGAATGGCTGATGGGGTCTGATGTGATACGGCATGTTTTGTGCCCAGGAGTCTTTAAGTGCCTTTAGTGCCCTGGCTGCTCCCAGGCTGGTGAGGGGTGGGCTGGGATCTCAATGTTTCACTCCTCCATGAAGCAGTTCAGGTCCTTTGGGAGGAAAATGGTGTTTTGGTCAATACCAGACTCCAAAAATGCCTGTAGGACAGGAGAAGGCAGCTGGCATGGAAAGGGGAGTTTGAATTGAAGGAAAACTCCAGACCCTCAAGAAAAGTCCACAAATCACTCCTACCTGGTGTAAATGTGTGCCGCTTCACTATAGCAAAGTGGGGGGTTGTGCTGCCAATTGCCATTTGTCACCATTTGCTCTAATGGCTTTTGTATTTGTCATCACTTGGGAACCCAGGTATGATGAACTGGGACCTTGCTGGGCTGGAAGCAGTGCAGTTCTGGCCAAAGGGAGTCATTGCCTTTACTTAATCTCTGAAATTGTTCTTAGGAATTGTCTCTACAATTGCAAAGTGTCTGTTTAGATACAATAGCTCAGCCAGTTTCATATTCCAGAAGGCTATAAAAATCATACTTGGGGCTTATTGATCCCTTTTATTGGAAACTCCAGAATACGCATTTAGTTCTAGAGCCTCATTTGTTGAATTCTTGATATTACATTCTTGTGTGATCTCTCCTCTGGTTTAAAGGGGGATAAAAATTGCTAGCTCTGCTGCCTGTAGTAGGAAAGCTGAAATAGGTGCATTCAAAGTGCATGGACACCTGAAGATGAGTGTAGAGAAACCTACTGCATTTTAAAAATGGCATTATGTTTGAAGCAGAACTCATTATTTTTCAGGGCTTTCTATTACTTGTTTGGAAAAGTGGGATGGAAAAGGCAGCCACTGTCTGGCCCATGTGGCAAAGCCAAAGGAGGCCTTGGCTGGCGGGGGGCTTCTCTGAACATCTCCCCTGGATGGCAGAGGGGGGCCTGGCTCTCACTGATCAAATTAAAGATTTTATTCATTTCAAATGTTGGCGTTGGGAGAGTTTTCCTGTAGGCCTCTGAGTTAGTGCTTGTGGTAGACAATGCTCAGTGCTATTAAAAATCTTATTTAAGGAAAATATCCACTGAAACTCACATTCGCAACTGTAGTTTTTTCTGCCTAGAAAAAGGTATCACAGCAACATTTGACCTTTCATCTTAATGCTGCCTTAGTGGTGTCAGAATAAAGCCAGTGCATAAAGCAACACTTTGCTTAGAAAGTTCTGTCCATTTGGTAGCTTCTCTTATGGTTTGGCAAGGATAAATACCAGGAAGTTATATTTCAAACCTATATTTCCATGCAGTCCTGGAGCAAATCAGTGATGATGTAAAGAGGGCTGCATCTTTAGCACTCAGCATGCTGGTGTAGCACCATTAAAATAGGCTCAATAATCTAACTGACCAGCCAGTTTAAAATGTAAGTACCCAAGAATTAAAAGCTAAGCACTGAAGTGAGACTGCCCAGCAAATAAACAGCCCACGCTGTGCTGTGCCACGTGGGCTGTGTCCCCACGCTGAGGAGCCTTTTGGTGCGTGGAGGGAAGGCTGGGGCGGGGGCTGTTCTGGGGATGCTGGCAGTGGAAAATGGGTGGAAAAAGAAGCATGGAGGAGAGGGATGAGTAGAAAGAAGTGGGAAGAAAAAGGGAAAGAGGGTGGAAAAAAACCACCAGAGAGGAGACAATAGTAGCAGAGGTTATTGGTGCGTTGCTAAATGCCTGTTACCTGATCTGGGGCCACTTGGCCCCCGTCCGTGTCACTGGTGTGGCACAGGCTGGGGCCAAAAAGCTGTCTGGGACAACCTTGAATGGTCCCTTATCCTTTCCGTTTTGGGGCTCCCTGGGACAGGGCACTCCCTGAGGCAGGACTGGGCACCGGGAAGCTGCCAGCAGCATCTGCCCCTGGACGCGGGCAAAGGACATCAGTGGCACCCTGGGATTTTCCAGCGCAGGCAGAGCAAAGCCGAAGGGACGACAGAGGAAGATGTGGCAGGTAGGGCCGGGGAGGCTTATCGGGAGCCTGAAACCAACGCGAAACCCCCTGGCAGCCGGCGATGGTGGTCCTGGGGCTGTGGGGGAGCGGGGCCGGGGATGCGGCGATCTCCGCTGACACCGTGTGGCAGGTCCCCGCATCTCCGCCCGGCGGCTGCGGCCGCCCAACAATGGGGATTGAAAAAAAGGCAAAAAGCCCCCAACAATAGCAACAACAATAACAACAACAACAAAAAAAACACAAACAAACAAAAAAAAAAACACCAAAACCCCTCAAAACAAACAAACAAAAAAAACCCTCCACCAAAACCAACAATAATAGCAACGACCAAAAAAAAAAAAACCCAACCAAAAAAACAACCCAACCACAAACATCCAAGCCTTGAATCTTCTCCAAATACCTTCTTAGTGCAGACAAATGTCATTCAGTGGAGGGACAGAGTGTGCGGTGCTGGATGCAGGCGGCGGATCTCTCTTCTCCCCACTCCCCAACAGCTGTACTGAAAACAGCTCTACCAGCTTCCTGAGTCCCTTGAAATGAATCAGATCCAGCTATTTCCCAGAAAGGCCTGCCTGGATCATCTCAACTGATCCGAGGTATTTTTATTTCCCCCTCCTTGCAGTAATCACAAGTGCCACAGTCTTGAAAGCAAGCTTATTTCTGAAGGACAGGGACCTTTTATCTCTAATTTCGGCAGGCACGAGGCTCCGGAGGGGAACCATGCCTAATGTATTCAGTGATGTGTATTCTTAGAAAAAGCTCTTTCTCCTTAGTCCTTTCCAGTCACAAGGACTTGGCACTGCAAATCTCAGCTTTGCCTGTTTTGGGGCCCTTGGAGCAGGGAAATCCCCCGCAGCCCCGCTGCAGCCAGCCTGCCTTGGTTTGCAGGTGGATGGGGCAGGGGGACAGCAAAGCAGGGAGGGACTCTCCGAGCTGGCTGCTGAAATACAGTCCTTATTTTTCCTGGGGCGGGGGAAAAACAAACCACAAAAAAGTTACTCATTATTGCTGCAACACAAAACCATTACCAAAAGGAGGGAGACCTTTATATGGCTCTCAGGGCATAAAATGTATTTAGGACAAATATCCCCTTGCTCAGAGCAATGCCAGGACCCTGAGAAGGCGCTTGCTGTGTTTGGAGGGTGCCTCTCCTCTTAGGGCCCTTGGACAGGCAGAGAGAAGAGCTAAAAGAAGATTTAAAGCTCAGGAAAGAGCCCCAACAATAGACAATGGAGCCATTTAAGGGACAACAAACAACTTTATGCCCTGTGAGTTTGTCCCATTGAAGTCACGGGGTGAGAGCCACGGCAGAGGGGAATGAATGGGTGTTTTACTCTCTGTTTCAAGGGAGCCAGGATTTTACCCACTGTGCAGCCACTTCAGATGCTGTGGCATTTTTTTTTTTTTTTTCACAGGATCAGGGGCAGAGAAAGAATGGGAACAAAAGCATCACGTTTGCTGTCAAAAAGGAAGGAAAGGAGAGAAAGGGCTTTAAAATAAGGCACCGTTGGGAAAATATGAATATTCTGGCTAAGAAATCCAAGCAGAAAGTGACTGAAGCTCTCCCAGAAATGGCTCTGAGACTGGTCTGAAGCTGGAGAGCCAGGGCAGCCCCTCTCCCAGAGCACTGGGGGCTTGGGAAGGGACGTGGTGGAGTTGGTGCAGTCTGGAAAGCTGAAATCTGTGCCCAGCACTGTTTGTGGAGTGCCTTGCCCCCCGGACTGGGAAGTGTGGGGGTATCTGTGTCTCGGGCACCCCTGGATTAAGAGCGTTTGGCTGGAGCAAATCCTGTGGCTGTGTGCTGTGACTTAAGTCTGGTAGCGCAAGAAAGGGCAAAAAGTGTGGGATGGAAAAGTTATGGGCTCTCTTGTTCCCTTTCCGTGTTGTTCTGCTGCCTGCCTGCAACTCAGTGTGGTGTGATTTGGTAGCAGTTTTGTTCAGGAGCAATAATGAGGTGACATAAAGATAGATTCTTCTGGAGACAGGAAAAATTAGAAAACGGTTCCTTCTCCTCTAATTCTGACCCTGGCTGCCAGATGAAGCAGGGCTGTGCTCTCACTCGAAGTACAACAGCTACTTTACTGAGAGAGATGCTTGGACTCTTGGTCTCCCTGACTTTCATTTGTCGTCTTTTTATTGTGTTGTATACTCTGGAAATGAGCTGTGAGAATTGGAGAGCCTACAGGAAAGTTAAGGGATTTTCTGGGAGTTTAGAAAGTTAAAAATAGAAATAATTTGAGAGAAATTAAAAAAAAAAAAACCACACAAAAAACCCCCAAAAACAAAAATAAAAACCCCGAAAAAACAAACAAAACAAAAAAACACAACAAACCCAAGCAAACCAAAATTGAAGGAAAGGAAGGCTATGAAAAGACAGCTGGAGCTGTGGGGTGTCTGACGGGGGTTTGGGCTGGGTGGGGATGCACTGCCCTACTCTGCTTCCCCTGGGGCTTGCTTTCTGTAAGGGCCTCCAGCCCATTTTGCAGGTATTGTAGGCCTGAGTTTGTTTCCATAAATAATTGCTTTTTATCAAACGCTCACAGGCAAGTGATCATTTTCCCCATGTAACCAGTGATGGCAAAAATCACCTAGCCATAAGAAGCACCAAAATCCCCCTCGGTCCTGTTCCCTCCCTCCCTCCCCAGCTCTGTCTGTGCAGCCTGGGGAAGCCGCTACCATCGCTCTCTGTGGGCTGGGACGGTCTCGTGTGGCAGTGGGATGCTTCAGGGAGCTTTGCTCCGTGGTGCTGCTGGCCAGGGAAGCTCCCTGGAGCCGCTTCTCCCTGCGCCCTCTCCAGCAGCTGCTCTGTGCGTGAGGTTAATTAGCACGATTAATAGTGAATGCTCTAATTGCAGACATTTAGTGGGACACTTTATGATTATTGTTTTCTGCCGCAATTGTGCCGAACACTTGGGTGTCTCTTTAATAAAGGAAATAAAGATGTAATTAGTCACAGTCTAATCCCAGTGCTGGCAGGAGACCTGTGGGGATGTAAGGACACAATCTGGAGCATGGGGTTCCTTGACAGATCCTCTCATTCCCTCACTTGCTGCCTAAATGATGTGGAGCCTGGGGCGGACCGATGTCATTTTGAGCCCAAACTGGTGGTTTTGACAGGGAAGTTTGCACTAAGCAAGGCTCCCAGGGTGCGCACACCAGTGCGGGCTGTGGTGTGTGTCAAAAGCAAACAAAGCCTTAATAACATGCCCGGGAAGCCCTGGCTGGGTCAGCTCTCCGTCTGTAGAGGTAATGAATTTCTCTTCTAAGTGAAATTAATGCACAGATTGTGTAAGTATAGTCGTCTTACACTACGTTATGTGATATGAAGATGTGTCTGAGAGTTTCATCTATACTCTGGGCGACACTTCATACAAGTTTATCTCTTTTATGGATTTGAGGCTTTTTCAGATACATATCAAAGATCTTTCCTTGCGTCCAACATGAATAATATATGGCACAGCTTATAATAAATCATCTTGGTTCCCTGTGCAACAGCGAGTGAGCAGGGCTATTTTAGGTACAGCCATCTGCATTACAGACCACGTCTAACACCGTAAAACCTTTTCCTACCTCCTCCCTGAGCCAGGTTGCAGCCGGGTGCCTCCAGACCCGCTGTGCTGGGATCAGCCTGGCAGGAGGTGCCCAAGGAAGGGGTAAATCTCCAACCCCGTTCTTCAGGTTTCTTTGCCTTTGAGACTGAGGAGCGTGGGCACTTGGCTCTGTCTCCTCATCCAGCACTGGCCTTTCCTCGGCTGTCACAGCCAGGAGGGTCCATCACTGGTGTGTGTGGGGTCACAGATGTGGCTGCATTTGGCTTTTCCCCAGTGCTGGGGCAGACCATGGCCTGGAGCATCCCAGAGCTGCTGAGGGAGCCCACCCGATGCCTAAGATGATACTGAAAAGATTTAGGGAGCTGGGAAGCTCTTTAATGTTAAAAGCCAGTGATGCCTAATGGGTTTCAGTGATTTGAGGGCAGGTTAGAGCGGTGAGGGGGCGTTGGGGACCCTGGGTTGGGAAGAGGCTGGTAGATGCCTAAACCACACTTTCCTCATTGCTTGCAGATTTAAACTTCACGCTTGGGCTCTTCCTTGCAGAGCCCCAGAGCTCCCAGGTCAGGCTGGTAGCTCGACAGCACAACAGAAATTCATCCACTCCCACCCCTGGGAGCTGCTGGACCTCCCGGGCAGCCAGCTCATGTACCTCAATTCCCTGGTTTGACTTGTATCAAAAAGATTTTTGCAAGGAAAAGCTTGATGTGTATAGGGTGCGATAGCATTCTCTTTAAAATCAATTATTTTGAGTTTACAAAGTGCATTTTCTATTACCTAATGTGCTGTAGCCAGTATATCTGTTGATTTCAAGGATTTTTTTTTATTTCACCTTGGCATGTCTTTTATCAGAAATCATTTTGAAACTTTTTAATTTATGGGCTTTTATTGCAATACTCAATTCATCCCGAGTAGTCTATTATTAAGTGTTCTAGAGGCTCTTATTGTCCTTTATCAGAGGATTGTATCTCTGTGCAATTCATCTGTAGTCATTCTTCATAGAGAAAATCTTTCATATTAGGTTTCTTTCATCATTCGATGACAACTCTTGAATACATCATTATTCAGCAATGGGTTTAGAAATTATAATCATTAGGCAATTTTTCATATAATCTGATTTTATAAACTGTTTCTCTTTATTATCTTTTGATGGAAAACAGTAAATGCATCTGTCTGGTTTGATCCTCTCTGATAACAGTAATAGAAAAACTAAGTAAGGACATCTTATTGAGGAAACAGCCCGGCTGCATTTCTTATATGCACAGAACCAAAGGTTATTTAGTGCGAAGTAAAACTCACTATCTAGTACAACGCGCTGAGCACAGATACCCCAACAGTAACACTGCGGTTCCTGTGCATGATTGTTGCCCCTCAATTGACTTTGTTTTCCAGGTGGTTTATGGGGTCATGAAACAGCATTTATAAAATTAAAAAAAAAAAAGGAGTAGGAAGGAGGAAAGGAGAATCACACCAACTTTTCTGGGGACAAGTGTTCCCTTTCCCCTCACCAGTCAGGTAAGGAAGATGTAATTTACGTTTGCAACCACCGTAAATCTCATTTTGCTGGGAGGGAGATGCTCTGGCTGCAAGGAAATGAGTTACCACACTCCTGATGCATCATTTGTCCTCTTTGGGCCTGAAAATGGGACCAGTGTGGCCCAGGAGGGAGGAGGAAGGAAGATTCCAGCTGGAATCCGCACTGAAATGGCAGCAGCTCTGCCAGGTTAATGGGGTAGTCGGGCACATCTCCTTCCTCACTCTTCTTTTTCCCTCTCTCCTTTCTTTTTGTCATGAGCTGTTCATTTTCCTGTCCCAAACGTCCTCGGTCCCTTTCCCTGCTGTGCTGCAGCCATCAGCTCTGGGAGCCTCTAGGGAAAAAAACCCAAACCTTGTATCAAACACATCCCTGGGTTTTCTCATGTGCAGAGGTGGGCTGTGTCTGTTGGAGCTATAAAGCGAATTTCTTTTAGAGCATCATAGGAATCAGAATGGGCTGGTAGTCCAGCTGGGGGTGCAATTTGGGCCTCCTTTGTAGAGATGTTGTTTCCCTTTTTAAAAATTTGAGCTTTTGCTTTTTAATTCTGGAAGATCAAAT